AAGCAGTGCTAGCAACCAACCCAGGCTCCCATGTCCAGCTTGAATATAATGGTAGTTCATGTCGGTTCGAGCGTTTATTCATTTCATATAATGCTAGTATTGAAGGGTTCAAATTCTGCAGACCTTTCTTGTGCCTTGATGGAACTTTTATAAAAAACAAGTACAAAGGTCATTTGTTGGTAGCCATTGGGAAAAATGGTAATCAAGGTATGATTTAGACATCTACTTATATTATAGGCTGCGTGAAAGCTAATAATTTTTTTTCCACATGATAGGTAGTTTAAAAGTTTATCCATACATGTCGACGAAATTTATCATTTTGTTAATTTTGCTCCATGTTAGGTAGTTTAATAGGGTCTCAAACAGTAATATATGAGAAAGTATCGTTTTATAACTTTATACATGTTGTGTGCATCCCTTAATTGTTCTAGCATGATCTCGTTTGATAAGGGGTATCAAATACTATATGCTTTGCTATGTCCCAAATAGTATTATATGTTTAGTATGTATGTGGAAATAGTGCTTACAAAACCGACCCTTTATTATAACCTGTTCTTATGTATTCATCCTTAACAGATTTTTCTTTAACATGTTCTTTTTCTTCAACACATGGCTCAGGGTTTTTCCCGCTAGCTTTTGGCATTGTGGACTCTGAAAATGAAAACAATTGGACATGGTTTCTGGAAAAATTTAGCAGAGATATTGCTTCCCCAAGGTCGTACGGTTACGTTCATATCAGACCGCAACAGAGGTCTACTTGAAGCTGTTTCCACCGTTTTTCCAGAAGCACCACATGCATTTTGCATGTTTCATTTGAAATTGAATATACAAAGTAAATATCCAAAGCAGATGGGTTCTGGTTATGGTGAAGTCGTTGCTAACCTGTTCCAAAAATGTTGTTACGCTCCATCCCAACTTGTGTTCGATCAGGAAATGAAAACTCTCATCAAGGATGGTGGTACAATAATTCAGAAATTTTTGCAAAACACACCCAAAGAAAACTGGTCCAATGCATACTTCAGGGGGAAACAATATGGTGAGATGTGCTCTAATATTGCAGAATCCTTCAATTCTTGGATTTTGGATGAACGCAAGATGCCAACTTACCAAATGATTGATAACATACGTGTGAAGTTGATGGAGATGAGTTCTGATAGGCAAAACATCTTCGGCTACAAGTAATACAAAGTCTACTATAACATGATTATTCCAAAACATACTAAATAACGCCCAAATGATAACATATCAAGCCAAACTACATATCATATTTATATAAGTAATGTTAAAAAGAGACTAATTTAACAATTTCAACTAATTATTCTAAAAGTAACTCCACAAAGTAAACGACGTATCAATTTAAACTACCCAGGTTAGTATTGAAGTTCCAATGACTAAAACACCAATTATTAAAGATGAACTGCAATACCTGTAATCTAGGTATCACAGGCCATTACTAATAATGTAATGGTAAACCCTCTTAACCCACCTAATCGATTTCAAACTAGTGCAAGCCTTCACTAACGCGTAAACACTGCCCACCAATTCATACCCGTCGTCAAACTCTAAATCTCGAACAATTGAAGTGAAAAAAAAAAAGAAATTTAGAGCAAAGATAGGGTAGCAACTGTTATCAAATACTGGTATTGAAATCGAGGGAGTGTAATACCTGTTATCCAGATAACGAACACTGCAAAAACAAAGCCCAAATCACAAAAACCAAAATATTGGAAAAGCAAAACCATATGACCATGTATGAAACTGAAATCTTCCGAGAAGTTACAATACCTGTTCTACAGGTATACCTATAGATTTGAAAGTCTTTAAACTACCTAAATAGAAAGGAAAACTGATCCAATGCATACTTCAGGGGGAAAAAATATGGTGAGATGTGCTCTATAGGTATACTTCAGGGGGAAAACAGGTATCAAAGAAAACTGATCCAATGCATACTTCAAAAAATTTTAAAGTACCTGTTCTCCAAGTATACCGGGAGGCCAGAACCAGATCTTCGCCTATTCTGTTTTCATCATATACTGGGAGAAATTTTATAGCTTTCATAGCTTCATACGGATTTAGGAGATTTGTTTCAAGGTTTCCGCTGGATACGGACGCAAACCAATTTGAAAGATGGGAGGATAAGGTTTTTGAATAAACAGAGAGACAAATCTGCAAGAGACCTGATAAAGGGCTCTAATGGCACTTGTTGTAATTTTGTTGGTAAATTATGTGCATTTTAATTGCTGACATGGATGATTGTTGTACTTACTAGCCCCCACTTATGCTTATGTAATATAAGTGGATTCCATTCAAAACAGGCTTATAAAATTGGACCCTTATCAAAAGACCCCAAAAATAAAACTACAAATTAAGTTTTCTAATTCAAACCAATTCTAGACACCAAACGAGGCGGTTCTCTCTTGTAATATCCAAATCATTTTATCTTTTTAAATGAGTTTTGTAGGAGTTTTGAGACCCTTCTTATCCCACATCAGGCAACAGTGGCTTTTCACTAGCCTTTATATAGGCTTATTCCTTCTTCTTAGTAATTAGAACTTGGACCATTTGGAAAGGAATTGAAGGCTTGGGCATTATGGTTATGTGGATTAGGCTTGATGATTAGACTATAATATTAATATTAATTAATTAATCAAGACAAGGCCCTTGAGGCCCAGGAATTAAAAATTAATCTGATCAATTAGTTTTAATTTCGAATTAAGTTTTTAATTAAATTAATTAAAAACGTTTTGATTAATAGACACAACTCTTTGGAAAGAGTTGTATAGCTTCAGATACATCCAAAAGGTGTTTGAAGAGGTATGAAATAACCTATATAACTGGAGTCCTCAAAAATCATTTTTTCTTCCTCCTGGTCTTATATACAAAATTTTCAGAGAGTAAACACACAAAGCAATTCGCTAGAATTATATAATCCAGTGCAGGTTGTAGAATTAGGTAGTTGTATCTTGGTCGAGCAGACGTTGTAGAACCACAAGCACACGAGTGGGACGGAAATACTGTTCGAAGAACATAGTGTTTGCGCTAGCCTCTACCTTCAATTCATTCAAGTTAGTATCATTTTCTTAATTCAGAAAAAAAAAAAATGGTTGTGTTTACTTATGAATATATTGGGTTCAAATAAAAGCTAGCCAAAACTAAAATGAAAATTTGAAAAAAATAACCAGATTTCAAATTCCATATAGAATTATAATCATCATTTTAATTTTATGATAATTGTAACCAAAAATTGATGTAAAAGTATTAATATACCCTTAATATTAGGGTCTCTCACAATAACCCAAACACAACCTTTAAACTAACCTTAAAATGATGAATTAATTTCTATCACTTTTTGTTTTCATTATTCTCTGGAACTTTTGAACTACTTTATGCAACCTTTTGGATTTTTGTAAAAGGATACAACAACCATATTTTACCTTTGGCTGTACTTTCATTGTTCAATCACCTATCAATTTTAGAATCTTATTGGAAATACCAAGGTGCCTAACAATTTAATCTCAAAGGCTTTTCATTTTATTTTATTTTTTTGTATTTAATTTATGCTTTTATTCTCGTTTAAAGGTTGCAGACATTCATAGATGTAGTTACAAGTTGCAAAGATCTGAAGGTAGTTTAAAGGTTACACAGAATAATGAAAACAAAAAATGATAGAGATTAATTTCTCAAATTGGTGCTAAATGTGGGAATTCATTACACTCTCTCCATCTATATTCAGATCTGCAATATTATAGATTGTGTTTTGTTTGTTGTGAGAAATCCTTATATTAAGGGTATATTAATACTTTTACATCAAATTTTGGTTATATGATCATAAATTTAAAATGGTGGCTATAATACTATATAAGATCTAAAATTTGGTTATATTTCCAAATTTTCCATACTAAGGGAGGCGTATTCAATTAAGATTTTGAGAGATTTTAATTCTTTTAATGAATTTAGGAATATTCAATCAGGATTTTAAGTGATTCTTTGAAATTAAAGGTGTATTCAATCAAAATTTTAAGATAGTTTATTAAAATCCTTAGAAATTCAGATGTATGCAATTAGGATTTTGAAGAAGTTTATAACATTTTAGGTATATTCAATTAAAATTTGATTTTAAAGGATTTGAGAAAGTTGAGGAATTAGAGGGAATTTGAGAGATTTCGCAGTGTATTTTAAGCATCCACAAATCTTACATCTTCCCATGAGATTTCGAGGGAATTGAATCAAAATTTTATATGGAATCTCTATAAATCAATTAAACTCCATAAAAATCTATAAATTTATAAATCCATTAAAATCTCTCAAATTCTCGATTGAAAACATCCCTTTAAAACACCATAACATTAATTATATTGGATTCTTGCTTACTTCGACCATAAAAAGAGAACATTTCAAACATTAACCCAATGAGATAGATTAATAAAAAGAAAACCCCTCCGATTAGCAATGTGGAGTGGCTTACCGCGTCGACAACTTAAATATCGCATAAAAATTGTGTGACTGTTGAACCTTGAATGTGACTGGACTAACTTGTTTTAATACTATGAAGAAAATTTTGATTATTACTAAAAACCAAATTATAATAGGACAGTGACTCGTTATACTTACAAGACTTAATAAACCGGCGTATGAGTTTTCACATCTAGACAGTATCTTTCATGTATAAATATAGGATAATGTTAGGGACACTAAAATTTTAAACCAAATTGTATAAACCAAATATGTGATTGCAATGTTTGGATTATTAATTAAATGTCAATTAACGTGATATTTTTTATTGATGACACACTATTTAATTTATAAATTTAATTTAAAATTTTAATCTTTCTAATATTATTCTAAATATTATGAAAGCTCAATAACTTCTTAACGGTATGTTTAGAAGCTAAACCAATATCAACCCCACAACTCGAATCAAAGATTAACAATTTTGACATCATTTACTATTGGTTGTCCTTCGGTTAGCTATAAGTAGAATAGGGTTTTGCATACTTTCTCTACACAGGACAACCGTACTTTCTCTTGCACTCTCACTAACTCACATTACCTTCAATATCTTCACCAGTCCCGCTACAACCAACAATGTCCGGAGTGTGGATATTTGACAGAAACGGCGTCGTTCGGCTGGTCACCAACCCAACTAGGGAGTCGTTCGAGCAAAAAGAGCCGCCGCATCCGGGTACAGCCACCGCACCCGGTGCTCGGCCCCGAGTCTTGGTCTACCTCCCAGCCAACCAGGTCATTCAATCCTACTCCGAACTCGAGCAGCGACTCACTGAACTCGGCTGGACTCGCTACCGCAACTCCAATCGGCCCGACCTCCTCCAGTTCCACCGCTCCGAGAACTCAGTCCACCTCATCTCGCTCCCAAATAATTTTGCCAACATGAAGTCCTTCCATATGTACGACATCGTCGTCAAGAATCGCTCCTTCTTCGAAGTTCGTGACCCGGCTGCATTGCAGAGCTAGGGTTTATGGTGCTTTATTCATCCTCAATATGCATTTTAGTCATCATGTAAACACCAGGCTTGAGTCGGCCAATTAACAGTGAAATATAATTGTTTCATCTCTTTTTCTATTTTTTTTAAGTAAATAATATTATCTATGATTCAAATTCGTATTAGAATTGAACCGAACTGGACTGTAATACTAAATGACGTCGGAGGATAATTAAAATCCTGCATGTATGTGGTTGATAAAACGATTAGAGAAATTTACATTGGCTTATTCTTTAATAAACACATCACTTGTATCATAATGTGATCGTGGTCTAAATTATCGAATCTTAATTATAATATTTTCAAGTTTTTAGCAGTCTTCCTTTTCCATGTTTTATAAATTGGTGGATGTGTTTTTATTTCTTTGGATGCATTTTAACAACAATTTTGTTTTTAGTTCTTCAGTTTTTATTTTCACTATTTTTTAAAACATAAAAAACCAAGTGACAAAAAAAGTAAAAAAAAAAAAAAATTCAAGTTTTCAAAATTTGACTTTCAGTTTTATGCTGAAAATGGTTACCATATAAGTTTTTAATAACTGAAAATAATGAATGAAATCAAAATGGTTATCCAAACAATCACTTTTAATTATTTATTTTTTAACATCTTGTAGCAATTAGGATAAGAGGAAATCATTTTGTCACTAAGTGAATAATAATATTACGTAATGAGCGTTGTAAACATAAAATTATGTATGTTCTCTAATAGATTCTCTCTCTCTCTCTCTCTCTCTCTCTCTAAGATAATAGAAACTCACCTTTATCCTTGGTAGGCACATACAACGGGTGTAGGTAAGCCTTCCCAGTCTTCCCCAAATATAGGGTTGTGGGTTAATCCTTATGATGGTTTGTTTTAACTGCTTGCATGTATGTTGATCAGAAGCATATAGCACTGGTGAGACTGAGAAAGTAACAAGTGGGCCCTCACATGCATTAATGATTGTGAATCAAAATCAAGAAAAAATCCAACTGGAATTTGCAGTTTATAATGAATATTAGAGTCATCAGGAACATGTAGCTAGCTAGCTATACCATGTCCTTTGGATTGTCAGTTTCAGAAGGCAGAAGTACCACAGACTGTAGAGGTTTAATGCAAAGGAGGATGATTCTCTCCTTTTCTAATTTCTTTACCCTTTTATCTCTTCTTATTTAAACGGTTACGATTAAGCCACGTCAACATTTTATATTGATGTTTTTATAAAGATAATAAGATAAAAAATAATATGTGATAGGAGAGAATGAGAATAGAAAGATAACGAATCCTCCTCCTAATGCAAAAGGTTATATTGAATAGGTAAAACAAAAGAATGTGTGTGTGTGTGTGTATATATATATCTCGAAAAGGATTCTCTCCGAATCTCTTCCATCAAGTTCACTAAGACCACAAATTTGGACCTTTGAAATTTGATTGAATGGCTTCAAATAGGAATCTATTTTAAAAGTTATAATAATTTTATCCGTTCAATCAAATTTCAAATGCTCGAATTTATGATCTTAGTGAAAAGAATATGGAGATGATCCCTTTCCTATACATATACATACATATATATATATATATATAGTTGCTGTGTGTTGAAAATATTGAAAAGAACCCGTTACTTGTACCATAATACCTATAAACCGGTGGCCATCCTATTATTATGGAAGGAGATATCTTTGGATCTCTTTCACCAAATCATATTTATTAAATAATTTGAATTCTTAAAATTTGATTTAATTGTTACAATTATTGTAACTTTTAAAATAAGTTCTTGTTTATAGTATTAGTTGACGAGGACTTGATGATGCAGATCATTATTGTTGCAAAGCTCTGAGAAGTAGCAGAAAAACTAGCTACAGCTTCATAAATGCAGATCATATGATGGTATGATATCGGACGAGGATCTTTTCCTGATTTTCTTTGTGAAAATCCAAAAATTAATTAATTGTGTTCGTTTATCATACATTATATGGTTAGAAATTATTTTAAATTCTAAATTAAGTATAAATAGTACATAATAAAAATTAATTGTACAGTATATAATGAATATAATTGATTGATCATCTGAATATCACAAAAAAAATCCGAAGAAGATTCTATTACGTATGATATCCTTTTCTTCCAGCCCCATAGGGGTGTCTATCTGTGTTTATCATTTCAATTTTCTAAGACTGTTTATCTCGCTGTGGTCAAAGGAAATCAGCTTTTTGCATGGCACAAATTTTTGGATGCTCTGGACTATCTGATATTTCAAATGTTTTAATTGTTAAATATTAATTATGGTATTTTTAAATAAAAAAAATTAACTATTTAAACACATAGGGGTGTTTGTTTGCTCTCACTAGGTTGGACTGGATTGGACTGGACTAGCTATTAGTCCAATACTGTGTTTGTTCCATGCTGGGACTAACATTAATAAGACTAAAGGGGACTAGCATGGACAAAACCCTTCACTAAGAGGTCTTAGCGAGACCCCCCAATAACCATGGGACTAACTAAGACTATCATCTCTTTCTCATCCTCGTCACGCTCAACGACCACTCCCGACAAACTCCTCGTCATCTCCGGTCACCTAGATCAATCATTAACTTTCCGACTCTCTTTCAGATCCATTTCACAACCAACTTTCATATAAAATATACCAAATTGAAGCTAGGAGTGACAAGATTACGATTTTACCTGAATCAAGGCCAAAATGTGGTCGAATGTGGCCGGAAAATGGCCTGGAAGTCTCGGCCTGTTTGGGCTTCTTCAAATCCATGACAGATTCGAGCATTCAAAGCTAAGATCTCGGTCTAGGGATGGTGATGAATTTTTTGGCGGTGCTAACTTCATCCAATTTAACAAGGGTTGGTCGGAAAACATATCGGGAAACCTGCAACTCGTCGGGAAAATTGGAGCCGTGAGATTCCATTCGAACAACACATAGCTAGAGAGAGAGGGAGGACAGAGAAATAGAGACTGGAATCAATAAGGAGTTTGACCAGGAATGAGAAAGAGACATGAATTGAGAGGTCTAAGAGGAAAAAAAGGGGAGAGGGTGGGACGATGAGAGAAGAGAAAAAGAGTGGACGGAAATGGTAGGAAAAGATGAAGAAAAAGATAAGATCATAATAAAATATTAATAATTTATATATTAAATAATATAATATTAGAATTTGTTATTATCCAGCTTCTTAGTCCAATACTGCACCAAACGCTTCACTAAGTTAGTCCAATTTAGTCTAGTCTAAGTCAGTCCAGCTTAGTCCTTGAAGCTAATCCAGTCCGAGATAGTCCGGCGAACAAACGCCCCCCTAGAGTACCTGATAATTTGGGAAATGGATCCTCTTTGAATCTCTTTCATCTAATCATTTTTATCAAATAATCTGAATCCTTAAAATTTGATTCAACGGTTAAAAACACGAGCTCATTCTAAAAGTTATAATAACTTTAACCGTTAAATCTAATTTAAAAAATCTGAATTATTTAATAAGAAAAATCAGATGAAAAGAATCCGAAAAAATCCTTTCCGATAACACAAGCACCCAAGAAAGTCTTTTGCATGGTGTGTGTGGTGACTAGATTCGAATCTTGGGGTTGCCCCATTGGATATCGACCTGGCAAAGCTGGAAAGATAGGGATTTTCTAGCATACTAATGTATTTTATATTTCAGAATTTTTAATCATAGGATCCCTATCTAAAATAAACTAAATAAAATCTAACGATTAAAAACTTCGGCAATATGAGATAGAAGAAGAACCCGGAGTATCCTGGCAAGATTCTCTTTGTGAGAATTCTGAAAAAATTTTGAATCGCATTCGTGTAATTAAAAATTATTGTAAATTTTTTTATTTAAAATTAAATATAAACAGTACTTGATAAAAAATAATTACATAATGTACGATAAATAAATATAATTAAAAGATTTATAAAATCCTTATATAGAGGATCCAACTAAAATAGAAAAAGAATAGAGCAAGAGAGCACGAAAGAGAGAAAGTAAGATGAAAAACAGATCATAGCTAGGTCGTGATAAGACACATCGAGGTGCTCTCATGATTCAGGAAGGTCTCATAGCCATCTGCATAACGTACAGATGGTAATGAATATTCATTAGGCTACAGTATAGCTTGATGATCCTATACGCCACAGTATAGCTACTATGATACCATCCCAAGCCCTAATGTTCATCTATTAAGTACTGCATCTAACTTATTTTAATCGGTCAGTTACTTCTATGTGTGCTACTAAACATGACAGATTAGTGGAAGTTTGCCAAAGACAAATAGAACAATGGCACACTGGTCTGCTCAAATTTTATTTTGGTCCTGTGTTTTGAATTTTACCAATTTTTATCCTTGTTTTAACTCGTTAAATTTTTTTGTAATTTTGTATAATTTGACATTAATCTTCTTCTTTTTGCTTTAGATTAAAAGAAACTCTATTAAAAAAGATCAAAAACTTACATAGGATAGGTATGTCAAAAGTTGTCCTCGCAGCAAACCAAGAGGTCACAGATGCTAAAAAAACCAAAACAACTTCACGATTATAAATTCATCATTAATACAATGTAATTCCTTCCTAGTCATGGAAGACCAAAATCCAACCAACATGAAAGACTAAACCTTCCAAGCCGAAGAACTTACATAAAGGCACCACAAGGAAAAGATTGCCCTAGGAGTTACCTGCACTAACCTTGAGCATCCTACTCATAGTCCTTCCCAAATGCACAAACCACAAAACCACTCTAGGCTCTAAGGCCATCTCCAACCGAGGGCTAGCCAGATGGCTCGTTTTAGCCTTCTGGCCCTCAAAGATATTAATATTTTAATGAACAGTACATTACCATATTTGCCTCCATCTCCAATCGAGGGCCAAATGGCCATAGGGCTCGTTTTAGCCTTGTCACAAAAAACTGTCTCTAACCAAGGGCTAAGTGACATTAGCTAGTCGTTGGATCTATAATTCATACAACTTGGAATTTAATCTATTTCAATTCAATCTCTTTCAATTCAAGTTTGCAATGAATTCTAACTTTGGATCCTCTTTGGATTCCAAATGGAGCTCCTCATCCAATTCCAAATTGGAAGAAAAATGGGCGCAAATGAGACAAGAGGATGAGGAGTCTGATGAAGAAGTTCAAGTAAGATGCAACAAACAAAACAGAGCAGCAACCATTGTGTGTCAGCCAATTGAGGAACAACCTCAATAGGGTGGCTGGTCGCTCTTACAAACCACGAAACAGAGCGATGACGCATGCCAATCTAATAAACAACTACTT